ACGAGTCTTTTCCTTCTTTGATACAATAATTAATTAAATTTCTATTGTTTTTTATTGGTTCTTTTTCATTTGGTGCTCAATTGTCTTATTTTTTGGTGCTCATTTCACACATAGAGAAAATCGGTGCTCATTTCACCCTTTTTTCAGTGCTCATTTCACATATCGATAAATTTGGTGCTCATTTCACTCTTTTTTTGGTGCTCAAAACACACTTCATCGATCTGGTGCTCATTTCACTCCTTTTCTGGTGCTCAAAACACTCCTCGTCCAAACATTCGATTGATATGATTTGTTTTTATGTTCGGATTTAAGTTTTCGATAAACACAAATGTATGTTAGGAAAAAAAAAGCTTAGAAGTTATCTATAAAATCTTTATAGATAATAGCTAATATTTGTCATTCAATTCTAAGTGAAGTATCTTCTTGCATAAACTCAAGCTCACTTTACTTATCAATTGAAGCAATTAACACATCATCTTTCTTTTTATATCAGAAGCTAACGGCTGTTCTTATGATGTAATTATTGTGTTCAATGGAAATTTTATAACAAAAAAAAAAATTAATCTTCTAATATTGTGATCAATAGTTTTTTTTTCCTATTAAACAACATTATCTATTAAGTTTTTCTTCAAAATTTATTTTAAATAAATTAGTTGATTATGGTATTTTAGAGTCTATTCTCTTTTTTCTATACAATTATGTTAATTAACAAATAATAGAATGAAAAATACTTCCTGTAAAATTTCGAATTTATTGACCTGTGAAAATTACTTTATATTAGTCAAGTGAATAGATTATTATCTTTTTTTTTTTTTTTTTTCTTTTCATATGTTCAGGTCATACAAATATATGTGATTTAGATTGATAAAAAATAGCTGTTTGCTTTCTATTCATCATATTTTTCTATCACATTGTTAATAATTTATCCTTGAATGATGATTATTCTTTCTCATTCCCAATATTCATCATCTCAAATAACTACATATGTTCAAAAATGTATGTTTATCTATGCAAACATTATAATAACGTAAAACAAAATGTATATATAAATATGTCTTCGTTAATATTGACTAATATATATGAAGAAAAACTGAATATTACAGATGTATAATTGTTCATGAGGCTAAAAACATAGTCGGCATTCATAAGAAATAAAAAAAATGTCTATCTATTTAATCGTTGTTATCGTCTTTCAGTGACATTTTGTCTAGTTTGTGCACGACTCCAGGCAACCTATGCTTGACTATTATCATCATAAGCGACCTCCCGCTATTATTAACATCGGAAGCGCTATACGTCTCAAATGTTAGGCGATTACATATGTGTATATGTCGAAACAAACGGTGTTATAAATAATTACAGCAATTATCATAGACGTATATATATCGATTAAAACAACCCGCTTTGTCAAATCAACGTAATAATACAAGCATTAAAATAATCGTTTGAAACCTGCCTTGACACAGTTGAGTCAAGCGTATAAAAATCGATTTATAAATTAGATGAATAAAACAAAAAAAAAAAAGACAAAGAAAAAGAAACATAAAGATAAATTGTCAAGTTTTATTTACAAGAAAATATTACTAGTAAGTAGATATTAGTAACTATATGCCATGACAAAAATAACTCATCAAAATGCTAACAAATTTCAAAATTAATCCATCTTCGAAAACGTTGCATGTTATGTCGCGACGATGAGATAGAATCCAATTGACTACAAACTTTAATGATCTAACAGCACGCTATACCACTAGTGCTACTGTCATATGCACTCTTGAGATATTTGAGAAGAGAAAAAAAATAAAATGGGTGTATATATATGTGCCACTCGAACATCAATGATTGAACAGCACAGTAGGGCAGCCAAAAGAAAGAGAGATGAGAGAAACGAAGAAGAGGAAGAAGAAGAAAGGGGACTATGTTAAAAAAAATCATCTTTCTTTGTATGTCAGTCATTCTATTAAGATACAATAGGAATATGAATATACATATATATTATAAAATAAGCGAATGTATGTCTCAGATGTATTTAGAATTTAATAGTAAATACACATGCAATGTTCTTTGTACAATTGATATGATGTTGTGACGAGAAAGTAAGTTTGCTCGGATAGAAGTTTTGAACATATGTGCTTCATTCTTTTGTTGTCAAAATAATTGTCAGAAGAGGAAAGTATTAATTAATAAAATTTATACAGTGCTACTTTTTTTTTTCTGTAATTTTTCTTTTAAGCGGATCGAGTTAATAAGAAAAGAAAGAGGTCAAGTGGAATATGATAGGGAATAGGTTTGAACAGGTGGACTCATTAAATTATTTGTGTTATGTTTAGTATGGTGAAAGGTGATGAAGTGTGTTTGTCTAATTTGAAAAGATCGATTTTTTTTTTCTAGTAACGCTTAAATGTAATAGAATTGAAGAGGGTGTTATTATTCGATAAATACATATATATGTAAGTAGTTTGATTTATAATGAACAATCAGCTGTTTTAGTTCCTTCTCTTTTTTTTTGTGCGTATGCTTAGAATTGTTAATCATTCTTTTTCTTTTTTCTTTCTTATTTATTTAACATAAATCTTATTTACAAGGTCATTATTGACAGATTTAATGGTGAAGTAAGCTTGATTAAGAAAGAAATAGATGTAGAATCTTTTTCTATTTTTTTTTATCAGAATAGAATATATATATATTATACCCCAGAGTGTTTATGTTCGTGTTTTTTTTGTCACATTAAATCATTTAAAAATTTCGATGTGTTGTCTATTATCCTTTTCATTGCAATGTATGCTATATCTTTTGTTTATGCATTGAGCATACGTCGTTTATAAGTGTAGCCTTACAAAAGTTAGCAACAGACACCATTTGCCTTGCCTACTTATAATTGAAAAGTTTCGATTTAATTCATTTTATCTCAATTGTTGTGAATGAGCCTTTTACATTAGGAGTAAAAGTGAATTGTCATTTAATGACATCGGGCAAGTTGACATATACATATAGTATATCAGTATGAAAAAAACTTGAGGTCAAGCAGATGGTTAAGACGGAAATGATCGTTATTATTATTATTATTTTTTGTTTTTTTTGAGAACGAATAATTATTGAAAAAGTGTTAAAAAAGTATAATCATAACTTCAAAAGAATGAACAGATCTTTTGAGATTAATCATCAACACAGCTGTGGTCACGCTTTATACTTGCATTCGAAATTGAGTTGAATATATATATATAAATGTACATGTTTTTTTCTCATTTCTTCTATGTTAGATGAAGACAACTATTCAAGAGGGAATTATCTTCGTTTCACTTCATTTCTCTATTTGCTCATTTCATCTCTTATGTTGATGTTTTTATGTTAATCATCACATACATACATATTTATTGACAGCAAGTTTTCTTCTTTTATCATAGGATCTAATGAAATACCATCCGTTCACAATCATAAGCATCATTTATATCGTCTACTAGAATAATAGAAAACAAAAATGTCAGCTTTTCTTAAATTAGATTCACTAACTGTTTCTGTCATTAGTATTAAAGCAAATAGATAAATCTTTGAGCGTCCGACATATATCTTTAACATTGATTGGATTGTATTGATAAGATAGAAAGAGCAAGGCAATGTGAATCAAGGTCAGTTGGCGCTTCTCTCTTTTCCTTTCCGTCGATTAGTATCACTGACTTAAGTATGCATGATGCAACCGAACACTATCGACAAGGTGTCTTCTTTTGGCTTTTTTAATTGTCGACATAGCAAAGTAACATTACTATTTTAGATATATTAATAAAAATCTTTTCATCATCATCTTTCTTGGTTATTACATAAGCCTATTTGAATTAATTTATATTGCTATTGTGTTTGTATGTAGACGACATACAAGCATGCAGCGTACGTAATTACTTTATTATAAGAGAATGTCGAGCACTTCTATTATTCAAATGCATTCAAAGACTATATTTTTATTTGTCTGTACAATATTAATTTGATATATATATATATAGATAGATAGATACATTTTCAGATGATGTTTATCTTATTCATTTTTCTTCTTATTCATAAAAGTCAATCATTAGAATGGAATTGTACTGCAACTAAACATTATCTTTTTTCGAATGATCAAATATATGAACAGTGTACAATTATAATTGAATATATATCATTAGAACAACAACAACAAAAACAAAAATGTATAACACATAGTTTATCAATAAAAGCTCTTCCACCAATATCAATTTTATCAAATTATACAATGCATACATTTAAAATACATTCATGTCAATTATTAACATTAAATCAATTACCATTTTCATTACCATCATCAGTTGAAAATCTTGATTTAAGTTATAATTTATTATCAACATTTACTTTATCATTTCCATTACCATTATATCTTAAATATCTACGTCTTGATCATAATCCAAATTTAATTGATATTAATTTTGGTTATAATCATATACAAGAACGATTAATTGGTCTTAGTCTACGTCATAATAAACATATACAATTAAAATCTTTACCATTATATTTACAACAACTTGATTTAACTAATTGTAATTTATTCGAATCATCAATATTATCAATATTGAAAACATTAACAAAATTAACTCATTTATCATTAGCTGATAATCAATTAAAACAATTACCTTTACTTGATAAAAGAATACAACTTGAATATCTTAATTTATCAAATAATCATTTGACATTTATTGATAATGGATGGTTACATAAATCATTAAAAATACTTGATCTTAAATTTAATCAAATAGAATCACTTGAATTTTTTAATGAATTATTAAAAATAAATCAAGCATTAAAACAAAATAATCATAATCAAGTATGTACGAAATTTATCTTTTTCTTTTTTATTAGAACATCTATATTAGACAATATATATACATCTTGATTTGTAACTATATCATATGAAATTCGATATGAAAATAAAATTATCTATTTTTATTAATAAAATTTAAGATGCTCTAGAAAACTAAATTTATATAATTTTATTAATGATGAAATCTAATCAACTCATATCTTTTTTTTTTTTTATATACTAAGCACTCAAAGTGATTATCTTTAGTTTCATGTATTTTGTAAGATGTTTGTCTTGTATAGGTCAAGTGATATAATTTCATGAAGCTTTTTTTTTTCGGACAATTTCTATCCAAGAAAGTTTCTACATCTTATCCAATGGAAAAAATGGAATTTTACTTAGCTGCTATAACTTCATAACATGATTCATCTTAAATTGAATATTTCGTTAATTTGTAGTCCAAAAGTTTCGATGACAATTTTCTTTATATCTATTAATTTGAAAAGATTTTTGATAAATCAATTTTTCTAGACAATGATCAATAATACTCTTCAACTTTCTTTACATGGTAATCCAATAATTTGTGATTGTTGGTTTGGTTCTATACTTAATTCATCTTTTATCAACATCACTGATTTATCTTTACTTCAATGTAATTCTCATTCAATTATGAACATGTCACAGGATAATTTTCTATGTTCATATTCTCAATATTGTGCATCTGATTGTTCTTGTTGTGATTTTGAAGCATGTGATTGTCATTCTGTATGTCCTTCAGAATGTTTATGTTTACATGATAGCTCATGGTTAAATCATATTGTTCAATGTCAACAAAGAAATTTATTTGATATACATATTCATCTACCTGAAACAGTAACTGAACTTAATTATGAAGAAAATAATATTGAACAATTACAACCATTTGTATTTGTTGGTAAAAATTTATTAATTAAATTAAATTTAGCAAAAAATAATATAAAAAATTTAACAAATGATATATTTTGTGGTGCATCAAATTTACATGAAATAAATCTTAGTTATAATAGAAATTTAATGATAAAACTTTCAAATATTAATGAATTATTTTCATGTTTAAAATATTTAGAATATATTATTTTATCAAAAGAACAAATTTATAAAGATGAACAAATTAATATTGGATGGATAATAAAATCAAATAATAATTTAATTCGTCTTATACGAATAAAACAACAATTATCTTTATCAACTCATAATCTTTATACAGCTTCGATATCTACAAGTATTTATCCATTGATTCAATCTGAAACTCAATCAACAACAATCTTTCCTATTTATCATCAACAGTCATTGATTTCTTCAAGTTTTATACAACATAATCAAACATTAATTATAATTGTGTTTTTTCTTTTATTATTTCTTTTACTTTTTTTATTATTCCTTATACTATTAGCTATTTGTCGACGAAAACTTCGTCATCATTTAAGAGCTGAACTTCAACGTCAACGATCTCATCATTATTATTATCATACAAATTTACATCAATCATCAATTCAAATTCCTAATAGTAATGGAACCATTGGAGTAAATGATAGTCTTTATGAACAATTACCATCATTATCATCTGACAGTGAACAACCATTTTTATGTAATGAAAAAAAATTAACTAATACAAATGCTCCAGCTTTACCACCATATCCACCTACATTTCGTCGATATCATTGTTGTCATTCAATAAATTCACATGAATATCAATATGGTAGAAATAATTCAACAACGACAGCAACAGCAGCATTTTATTCATCATTAAATTTACAACAGCATCCATGTCCAACAGTTCTAGTCGTAAGAAATCCATCATTGTATGCAAATCATCATGAATACTCATGTGAATTACAACAATGTTTAGTTTCAAATCAACAAGAAAAACATTCAATGATTTGTTGTAATAATGAAACAGGTTTTATACCAACGATTCTTTGTCAATGTAATGATCCTATACAAAATATTGACACATGTACCTATCCTAATGTACACAAATAATGTTTTGTTGAAAAACAAAATGTATCAATAAAAAAAACAAAAATTGGTGTTTTTCATTAAAACATATGTGTAATATTCTATCAGAGAAGTTCTTCAACTGACAAGTCATTTTTAAGTCGAGCCTATGTACATCATGTAAACACAAATGAACTATGAATATTCTGAAAAGTCAGCTGGAACGTAGCGTAGTATCCACGTATTATTGATCTGTATGGAGATCACAGCAGGATTATTTGAATCGAATGAAATGAAATGACTTTGTCGAATATTTGTTTCCGCAGAAAAGAATTTACTCCAGAACATTGCAAAAATCTAGATAAAAAGTACTTATTTCGAATGTGCTAAGCACTGAAAAAGTATGTCTTTAAATCATCTTTAACATCGCATTCTACCTGTATTCTCAAATTAGCGTCGTTCCAATTACGAGTTACTTCATTGAATTCTACGTAGTTGGGTTATTGGTTGAGAAGAGAAAAAGTGGTTTACTTGAAACATATTGAGTATGTCGAACACAGTTGTAGTGGCTAAGTCATCGAATATCTTGACATAATTGAAGAATTTCAATTCATTCTTACGAAAATCAGCCCAATGGAATAGCCGAGTAGGGTCTGTGGTACCATTGATGAGTTTCATCGTCTAATATGGAAGCCAATGATCGTCTCGCATAAAAGTGTTCGTACAAAATGGATGAAAGCGTACTTCATAGGTAGATGAATGTTGACCATGACGCCGATAGATGACAACACGGACATGGTAAAGTCGATGAATATAATTTATCAAGCTCTTCTAATTGATCCACACTTGGATTTCGGAAGGTGATTTGTTGTGAACCAACTGTTGAAGCAGAGTAGATGATTAGAATGTACACATCGATCATCACCAATATGATATAGACTCGAGTAGAATAAATGCCGTGTTGTACATCAGTCAAAGTTCTCTTGAACAAATTGAGTGTAGTAACTTTGCGATACATTAGTGTAGCAACATTCTATATACGATCTTGAAGATCTATGGAGAGAAAAAATATCAGAAGAAAGAGAAATCTATTGATGTAGAGATCGCAGTGGCGTAACCAGGGGGAGGGGGCAAATGGGCAATTGCCCATTGAAATATTATTTTTTCAGAATCGTTTATTTATTTTGAATTAGATAGTAGCTGTATTTTTTCCGTCTGAATCACACATGCACTCTTTGATTGTTTTTTCTGTGAAGAATTAAGAAGAGAAGAAGACAAGAATCGCCTCTTGTATTTTAACTTTAAGTTTGAGTGAACATGAGCTCAGTTTTATCAGGAAGACACTAACTACGTAAAGGCCTAATGTGCGTTATTTATTAATTTTTTTGGCAACATTGTCTGTATCAACAGCTTCTGTTGAAAGAAGTTTCGGGGTGTGGGTATGTCTTCTTCTTGACTACACCTATCCCCACAGTCACCCACACCCGCACCCCACACCCTCATGGTCGATATTGCTCCAAGAGTACCAACGTTTTTAGGAGAATCATCAATCATGACTTCGGCGATTCGGTTCTTAGACAATATTGGCAATAGTTCAAGGACGTTGTTTTATGATTGGAACCGTGAGCATTGATTGTTTTTGTCGGAGAAAACAAAATTGCTCATATCAAGAGTCCATAGACTGTTTTCTCTCACTTTTAACAGCTTATTCGTACTAGTCAGCGTTTCTATTTGTCGTTGCTCATTGTCTTTGTTTTAATAAAACCAAGCAGCAGTCGAATAAATAAGCTCGTAACAATGAACGAGACTAATAATCGTATTCAAGATAATATTCACAATCTAACGAATGTACACTACATTGATGTATTCGATGAAATGCTTACACCAGATAAGAAGCGACACAAGGAAATTTTCGACTCGAATATGTTGCATAATGTTAAGCAATTTTGAATACGACCAATGAACAATTATTTTAAGACGAAAAGGTTGATATCCATAGCTTCTATGAATCGATATGGTTCTTTATTAATTCAAAAGATGAGTAATGTGGAAAGGCTGAATTTGATGTAACCTATGATTCATAAAACACCCATGTATCGAAAGACTTGACACAAAGTTAAGCCGCAATGTCGGCAACTTTACCACGCTATCTTGTGAGTGGATGTATGGGTGTGGCGTGCGAACGCCGTTAATAGTAATTAACATGGCTCATGTGATTGTTAATAAAAGAAACTTTTGTTTGAACTTTTTTTCCCTAGTTTTTCGATGCGTAAAATCGCATAATCCAGTTCAAAGCCAATAGTTCAATAGTTAGGAAGAGTTTAAAATAAACTTGATAATCTGAAAATTCAGAACGTATCAAAGAATCCAAAAGTTTTCTTTTCTTCTTACAGTATCAGAATGTCTTTCGCAATCCATGAAGTTAGCGGAGACGAGTTCAAGTTTCTTCCTCGAACACATATTAACAATCGTGTTTCAAAAAACATTGATGCTGTGCAAAACATCTTGTTTTAAAAAGCCCTTTTAGAAAATAGTCTACTTATCGTTACACACTTCCAAGGCTTCATTAATCGCTGACAAAACTGCAGGTCTTCATGATTTTTCATTCTGGATTTATTCGACAGCTACCGACTTTTGTCATGAGTAGTTATTTTTCCCATCGGTGTTATAGGGAACTTGATCTACACTCTTATCTCATCACTCTCCACTCATCTTCCAACTCTTCCACACAATAGGTGTTTGCAATCTAGTGGTTGCAATACACAAGTAAAATATCATAATGGCCTAGAAGTTGATAGTTCCTTTATTTTTTTGCTTTCTCTTTCTTTTCACATGATAAGAAGTGTAAAGATAACAACGATGAAATATATATATATATTCTTCTTTTTTTTTGACATAAAAGAACATAGTTAAATAACAAACTATTAGTATACTACAAGTCTTTTGTGTATGAACAATACAATGTTAGAAAGGCCAATAATAAAAACCGAATTACCCGGTCCGAAATCAAAAGCAATAATTGAAGAAGATACCAAATATGTAACACCATCGTTTATTCGTTATCCATATAAACTTGTTATTGAAAGAGCTTACGGCGTTTGGATTGAAGATACTGACGGTAATGTATTTATGGACTGTAATTCAGGCTTTGCCGTTTGTTCAACTGGTCATTGCCATCCCGAAGTTGTCGAAGCAATTACAAAACAAGCTCAAACTTTGATTCATATGTGTGGAACAACTTATTATTATCGTCAGATGCCTGATTTAGCCAAGAAACTCGACGAATTAGTTCCAATTAAAGCACCAACACGAACCTATTTTGCTACTTCGGGTGCTGAAGCAGTCGAAGCAGCACTAAAACTTGCTATGTATTATACAAAACGTCAAAGATTCATTTCATTTGTGGGCTCATTTCACGGACGCAGTCTTGCTACACTTTCATTAACAGCATCGAAAAAAATTCATCAAGTTGGTTATATGCGTCGCTTATTAGATGTTGTTCATGTACCTTATCCAAAAAAACTTGATTCACCATTCGGAAATCTGACCGATGATGAAAGTGCATCTCGAGCAACAATAAATTGGATTGAAAATTTTATTTTTAAAACAACGACACCAGCCGAAGATGTTGCTGCAATTATTGTTGAACCTATACAAGGCGAAGGTGGCTATTTTCCATCACCAGCTAGTTTTTTGCCAGAAATTCGACGCATATGTAACGAAAATGGCATACTTTTAATTGTTGATGAAGTTCACAGTGGAATGGGACGAACTGGAAAAATGTTTGCTACTGAATATTATGATGTTGAACCGGATATTATCTGTGCATCGAAAGGTATCGGTTCAGGTTTACCAATTGGTGTGTGTGTCGCTCGTGCAGATATCATGACTTGGCCACGAGGATCACATGCATCGACATTCAGTGGAAATCCAGTTTGCATTGCATCGGCATTAAAGACAATTGAATTATTGGAAAATGGTCTAGTAGAAAACGCACGTGTTGTTGGAAATTATCTAAAAGACGGATTAGCTAAGTTTCTCGATAAATATGATTGTATTGGGGATGTTCGAGGTCTTGGCTTAATGGTTGGAGTAGAAATTGTTGAATCAAAAGAAACAATGAAACATGCACCTGAACTTCGTGATAAAATCGAGCTCGAGTGTTACAAACGAGGTTTACTTATATTTGGAGGTGGCGGCATCAGTGTTATCCGATTTGCACCGCCATTAATATTTACAAAAGAAAATGTTGATGTTGCTTTAGAAATTTTTGATGAAACAATAAGGGCTGCGATATCCAGCTAGTTTGTTAGTCGTTTATTTCTTTGGACAACATATTTATAAGTGTAGTCAATTTTCTGAATGAAATTGTTTGAAAGTAATAATTATGTTTTTTATTTGTTTTGTTGAAATTATGATCATGTACTCTGAGGCATAAATTAGATTTTCGATCAATAAAACGATTATTCTATAAAATATAACGAAAAAAAAACAAAGAAAAACATGACAAACACAAAGACAAGTCAATCATATCTATTGATGAAAGAACTTTTCCAGATAGCCCCATCCGATTTCAATGACTCTTTTTGCCTATAAATACTGCATAATGCCGTAGTAAAAACCCTTAAAGGATTTGCGTTCTTATCTTTTTCTTCAAGAGTTATGAAAATTTTGTTGTTGCCTCTATAGTGCATAACATATGGAAGAGCCCATAAATAGGACTACGATAAAAACATGAATTGTGTCCGCATCGGTGCAATGAAATGGGCCTGTTTTTTTAGTGAGTGGTGAAAGTTTATTCAAGGTTATTTTTTCCATACAAATAATGTACATGAAAGCAATTTTACCTGTTATCAAATAAAAAAAAGTACATGTATTCGTTTCATAGATAATTTTCAGTTGTTATCTACAAGAATAATAAGAACAAGACAGAATGATTCTGTATTGATGTACGCAGAGAAAGTTTTCGAAACAAGTGTTAATCCTGAAATTCGTGTCTAATAAGTAAAGCACACAACTGCAGCCCAGTAGCACCAAAATACTAG